AATATTTCTTTAAAGTTCGTATCACACAATGCTTTCAAATTCTTTAAAAAATTAACCACAAAATACGACTTCCCGCTGCCCGAAGGCCCTCCAAGTATCGCAGAGAATGGATGTTTGAACCGCGGGTCCATTTTTAAAACTGAATTAAATTTTGAGAGGAGTTTAGATTTTAAGCCCAACGATTCAATTCTAGAGAAACTATTCAATAATGATATCGAATCAAAAAATATATAGTATATGAACGTATTTCTGCCAAACGGAACTATGTGCATTCAGACATGAGCCCCTGAGACCCATGAGAATATATGCATAACAGGACTAACGTTATAATGCACATAGTTCCGTTTAGCAGAAATACGGCCATACAATGTAAATATTTATATCGTATTTTTAAACCTAAATAAAAATTGAGTTGAGTTTAGATTTTCAGCCCAACGACTCAGAGGAACTATCCAATCATGATATCGTGTCCAACCGATTGAGGGCTGTAACTTACATGAAACAAAAACGAGAACAGTGAAAATTTTCAAGTATGTCTCTGCTGTAATCGCTGTTCTCGCCGTTGAGCTCAGCGCTGAAATCACCGGCCGCGCCGCTGAGTTCAGCGCTGAAGTCACCGGCCGCGCCGCTGAGTTCAGCGTTGAGCTCAGCCCGGCCGCGCCGCCGCGCCGCCCGCCCGCCCGCCCCCCGGAGCACAAGACTTCAAGTTTGAGAGGCGCAATTTATAAATTTATTTCTTTATTTATTTTTTCATTTTAAAAAAAGTTTCTTCTTGTTTGTCTAGACTTCAATATTGAGAGAGAGAGAAAAAAAATAGATATGCACCAATACTGAAATATTGATTTTTTTCTTTTAAATTTTTGTTTATTTTTTTTACTGGTTTTATTTGAATCAGTGAGAACAAAAACACACCAACTCGAAAAAAAAAATGAAAATAATCAAGACACACAGACACACAAAACTGTACAGTGGGTGAAGAAGTTAGCATAAGAAAAATGTTTTTGGTGCCGAAGGACAAGCACTTCATGACAGTTTAAAGGTATAAGCTGCAATAGATGCGTTAACTTTAATGACATTAATGAAAATTGACTGTCTTGATCGATAATTGACCATTGTGAGTTACGAAGTTGGTGTGTTTTTGTTCTCACTGATTCAGTGGTGATCTGTTTCGGTCTATTTTTTTTCTCTTTTTTTTCTCTTTTTTTTTTTTTGAACAAAAAAAAACGAGGAGATTTAAGGCAGGAAAATGAAGAGAGTGTAGTTTACTGTTTTCAACGGCGAAAAAAAAAAACTGAGCCGAATAGTTTATTACAAATACGTGTACTTACAAGTTACCCTGGCTTGTCGTCAAAGGATTGGCCATTACATTCTGAAACTTAAATATCCCCCCCCCCCCCCCC